CTTGCCTAAAGCGGGTGTTAGCCAAGTTTTGCGACGATGACGGTTCGGTTCGGTTCAGTTCAGTTCGTCCTTGGGTTGGTTGTGTATGGTAGGCTAATGTTTTATTTGCTTGGGCTTGGGGATTGGGGATTGGGGATTGGGAAGCGCAGCGTTTCGCTTTGGCTTTGGCTTTGGCTTTTGGTTCTTCCCCACGTATGCGGCCGGGTCGGGGCGCAGCAGCAGCAGCAGCAGCAGTGGTATGTAGCAAGTGACATATTTTCTTCTTTTTCTTTTCGGGTGGCATGAGGAATTGTTTATTCATTGGAGGTTAAGTGTATTATTCTATTGTGTTCTATATTATAATACTATATAGTTTATTCCGATTTAATATCTTACCTTGATGATATGATGATGCCCATGATGGATGTAAGTGGATATACATAGGGATATAGCTGCAGTATGTTAGATACACTACAAATATAGGTAGATATCCCCCCCGCGTCGGGCGTGGAGCTAATAGGGAACGAGGGACGAGCGCCCATTACTAGTCTGCTGCAGAAGCTCACATGCGCTGCTACTTTTGGGATTCCTATCCATTTTCTTCATCCACCTGTCCGTCTTGTCTTGTGTATTTTCCCTCGTCTCTTTCTTTTCTCGTGAATATATCCGAGCATTGCCATTACATACATACATACATACCTCATACGTACGTACATATATACATACATACGTACATGTCAGTTGGGTAGGTAGGTAGGTAGCTAAGGTAAAAAAGGTTGGGTCGGAAGGCCAGTGGGAGCGGCCGTCACGGCGCATATATAGGTAGGTATGAGCAGTTCCAAGACAGGAACGCGCAGCGGTAGGTAACGGCAGACGGGCGGGTGTGTAGTAGTTGCGGAGCGCTAACATATAGGTAATATATTACGAAGCGGCCGTGTAGGCGGCCCGTTTTGTTAGCCAGTGTGATGTGCAATTATGTACAGATGATGATATTCTAATGTGGTGTAAGTGGTGTAAGTCTTGTATGCCATAATGTCATAGATGCATGTATGTCTCACTCCCTACTTACATACAGAATTGATAGTCTTGTTAGTAATAAATAACAATGGCAACATGTCCAGAGAAGAAATCGAAGAAATCGAATTCGCGCTGGCGTGACTTCAATTCACCCACCCACCACTCACTTACAACTAGCCAACCTACCATATCTCTTCCCCTCGCCCATACACACGGGCCACCCTCACCCATATCCACATAAATAAAATATAGGTACCGTACGCGCGCCTATACACGCCCACATGCTGTCTCAAACACGGGACCCGGAGGAGTCTGCAGGCTATGTAGAGCGAGGTTAGATGTTGTTTGTAGCGTGGGAGCTCGGACTCGTCATAGGGGGTGGGTTGGTGGTTGGTGGTTTGTTCACGCGAGACAGAAACTGCGGTCCAGACGAGCGCGAAGAGGGTGGGTGGCCTATGAGGGGGCTGCCCTGGTCTCGTGGTTGACAGCTGGCCCCTCCTTAACTAACGAGGGCAGACCTATTCCCGTTGGTGGGTAGGTATACATATTCAGGCAGACGGGCCTATAGGCTCTCCGTATAGGTAGGTAATTATTGGGATTTGGAAACTTACCTAGCTAAACTAACGCTCGGAGGGGTTGGTTCGGTAGCTAGGTATGTATGTATACATAATGTAGGATGTATGTGAGATCACAAGTAAGATCGGAAGACGGGATGTTCGCATCTTCCTCATCATCCATCTATCCATCCATCTGCTCCATATGCTGCCAATTTTAGTCGGCGGGTTTGTTTTTGCTTACTCCTCGGCATACCTTCACCATACTTTACCTCACCTCACCTTACCTCCCTCCCTTCCCCTAGCAGCACACACACACCACCACCAACAATCATATTATGTATGTGTGCATATACATACATACATACATACAAGACAAAACTGGACACCAAAATGCAAAAAAAGGGCTATGCATAGGACATCAATATCCAGGCACACGGCTTATAATGTCTCGCCCTGTGATCCAAGCCCACTCCCGGAATGGCACAGAGGCTTTTCCCAACGGCAGCAAACGCAACGTACAACAACGCCCCTATTCAACGGCCAATTTCGTCCGACGCGTTCGTCGCCAACGACCAGGCAGCCGGGACTTTTGGCCGTTCGGAGGGGGCGCCCGGGGGGGGAGCACAAAATACGGCTAGCTGCTTGTCTCGGTGCTTGGCCTTTGCCTACCTGTTACTATCGTACCATCATGCCATCGTCCGACCTGCGGCGACCAGTCGTCCTTCAGTCCTGAGTCTTGTCATATGCGGCACTTTATTTATCATCCTCCCCTTTTCCCCATGGGGTAGGGAGATGACTAGTCCACTTGTCAGGCCTGAGATTCAAGGGCTAGTATCACGTATATGAAGGTACGATTAGTAAAAGCGCATAGATTGGCTGTTATTGATTCCACCGAGATGAATATCGACTAATAAAATCGGACTGATATTGCTAGTGTATATGTAGCTAGGTACCTAAGGTATGCTTACCGCCGGTTAGCACGAATAGGGGCTTCCATGAATTCTTCAGACAAGTCCCTTCACTAACTAACTCCCAACCCTGCCTCCGTAGCAAATTAGTCATAAATAACAAACCGTATCACCACGTAGCTATCCGGCTTTGTTCCCTCTGTGTATACGTCGTATTTCCATTTCTACGATCGGCATACCTGACCTGTCACGTAAGTCCCGATGCGCTCCAGAGAAATCTATCACAAACCCGCGAAGCCTATCGTCCTACGTCCCTCTTGGCCAAGCACCCAAGTAAAATATACCTACCTACCTACATACCTACCCACTTACATACATAGAAAAGCGACAAATCGAATACCGTCGCGCAAGTGACACGGGATCGCCAGACTATCAGAATCCCACGATACCCAGGTAGGTAAGGTAAGTTTTCTCATCCCGGCATCCGGTCAAGACGCACGGAACGCCATTGGCGGGAAGCTCTACTGCTGCTGCTGCTGCTGCTGCTGCTATCTGATCTACAACGTGCTGCAGAAGAGACAAAGAAAGGGGGGTCTGATAAAGATGGTGGACGATGACGGGTCTGTGATAAGGGCTAGTTAACGTGCTGTATATACCTACCTACCTATGTACGCACGCACCTATATACATACACATATACATAGGTATACATATATGTATATACCTACGTGCGTACGGCAGCAAAACGGACGCTGCGCAGAAGGAACCTTACCCGGACTGCGAGCGAGAAACTTGCGATATGATACGTAAGAATATCGGTAAATACCTACCTACATACCTACCTACCTGAAGTTATGCACTCAAGGTATGGAGGTAGGTAAACATGTACGTAGGTAGATATGTAAATACCTACCTATGTATCTCAAGCATGCTACGTATGACAAGAAAGAAGGTCACCCGGGGAAAAGAAAACCTCCCTGTAAGACGTTTCGCAGCATCGTGCCATCCGGGAACACGCGGTAGCTATCCGGGCCCGTAGGTTAGGAATTGCTCTACATACATACATACAGCAGCAGCAGCAGCGAAGATAAAGTGAAACCTCTGGAGTCCGGGGGATAAGAGGCAGACAGACAGACAGATAAACACCGTTTATGCGCCCAGTTACACTACCTACAACTTACAACCTACCTACCTACCTACCTATGCTCTCAGCCCCTCGCGTCGCACACGTTGCGAAGATGAGACGATACGATAGCAAGTAAAGCTGCCTACCTACCTAGGTAGTAGACCGGGCAATACCTCCCGGAAACGGATTTCATCGGGTGGTAGTCAAGTCAGTCAGTCCTGTCCAAGTTTGATAAAAAGCCGTTTTAGTTCGTAGGTTCGTAGATGACGACGATATTATTATTAAAAGAGCTCAGCCAACCGGTGCTGACTGTACCCCGCGCAAAGGGGGGCAGGACGGCGAGGGAGATAGCCTACTTGGCTATCTCGTCGCTAGCTAAACCTGAGGCTCATTCATCACGGTTACGTGCCTACATCACGATGACCATGTATGTATGTATCTCATGTATGTATATGTAGGTAGGCTCTCCAAGCCCAAGAGTCGATGTGCAAGGACCGATATATTAAGATATAAGTATGAAACAAATTGCGGGCGGGTTAAATCAGCCGCATGTATTCTCCACACGGGAAAGACGCCTTAAAGAACAGCCAGGCCAGGTGCAGGTGGGAGGCAGAGGGATGGGGAACCGAACCGGGCACGAGTTCTCCTCGACGATCGGTTCAAGAACAGTCAAATCGGCCTCGACTGACCGCCAAACAAGCAAGTCAACCTAGTCAACCTAGCCAACCAAGCATTCCAATTAATTATCAACCCGCATATCCATCCCCATTGGTAAATTCCAGCTTCGAACCCAGTAAGAGGCGGCTGTTGAGATACCCCAAAGTGCACATTTAGCTATCGAATGCCCAGGTAAAAACCCATAAAACCCGTAAAGCCAAGGCCGATCACAACGATGGCGTATGCAAGAACCAGAAGTATCTGACCATCTTCACACCCCCTTTTTCTCACTTGCTCGTCCTTTCTCGGCGCCCTCCTGCTACATACTATGGTAAGACAAGAACAGAACAATAAATATGCATTCCCCCACAATCGTCATTGCATATGCAAAGGTGATGCACAGCATCTCTAGTTGCTACCGGCTGCGCCCATTCTGAAGAAACCCCGCGAATGAAGCAAAAGCAAGAGGAGAACAAATAATAATAAAATCTCATCTTCCGTTTTCCTCGACGCCTAGGCGGATTCGCTCCTCCTATCGTCATGTTTGCGAGTGCTTGTCTCGGTAACCGAACCTACTGCTGAGAAACCCGTATCCATTGCGCTAGGATGCCGTGATAGGGGCTACACGGGCTGCTGGGGACGCTATGTATCCAATTGGCGAATAATCATCTCCATCTCTACCAGCCTATCATACGTAGAGTAGTCATCGTCGGTCCAGGAGGGGCATACTGCTTATTTCTTCTTGGAGTTCGTAGGATTATACTTGTCCTTCCAAATCCTGCATCCCGTGCGTCATTGGTTAGTAAAAATAATGTTACACTCGTAGGTAGATGGGTATATGCTAGATTCGGAGAAGCTCGGCAAAGCGAGACGGAGTGTAGGACAGCGCAGAGTTAAGGTAGATCAGAGTAAACAAAACCGGACTGCTCCGCTGCAACTGAGGCATTTACATTGGATATGGACGTGGGACGGTAGCAAGCGCCATACGAGGGTAAGAATGGAATTGAGGAAACGAAGAGCGACATTTCCCGGATTCGGTGAAAGATGAGGCTCTGATTCGTTTAGACCCCAACTCGGCGACCCGTTTTCGCGGCCGTCTTTTGATGGAGACTGAGCCCAAAAAGAGCAAAAAGCGAACCCTTGTTCTAGACCCGCTCGGAGCCTTGTTGTCAAAAGGGAAAATAAAAAGACAGGGCGAACTTCTGCAAATATGTCCGGAAAGACGGACAGCCTATCGTCTACCCCGAAGACCACTCACCCGCAACGGCCGGGGTCTCGTAGCTTTTTGCTGTGCCGCCGACGTACGGGACGAAACGACAAAGGAGAAAGGGCTCGCCAAGAGAAAATAAAGACTAGTCATACGAGTAGCTTACGAGAAAGGGATAATAAATGTGACACTTACCATGTATTTCCTAGCGTCTTGTTGCCGTTCTCCTCCGCCAGACGGTAGTACCTTGCTGCAGCATACTAAAGGGGAAGCATACAGTTAGTCTCATGTGATTTTTCCCCCTTCCTTCCTTAGGCACGCAGATGGGACGGGATGTTAGGGCGAGTTAGGTGCTCCGAGAGCTGTCGCCCCTGGGTGTGCGATTCTGATTTGCGGCTGGAAGCAAGCCTCATTGCTGCCCAACGGGACGGGATCGTGATTTAGGGCCGAGAAGCAGAGCTGCTTTAGCTTGCCGCTACTGCTTCGGAGACAAGACATCCTGATCTAACCCCGGAAGCTAAGCGAGCGAGCTGACCAGACAAGCCACAATGTAGGCCACATGAGGCTGACACTTCATCATGCCTAGCTGTCGCTCGCGTGGTGTGGTAGTGGTGAGCTTTGGGCAGAGACGTGAGGCGCCGGATTTGGAAGTGATACGTAGCGAAGAGAGGTAATAGATAGACAGCGAGGAGACCTAGCTTCGCGCCTAACACGTACCTTGTCTTTCTTGCATCCAAAACCCTCCAGATAGCACCAGGCGACTTCATTCATGGCATCTGCGTACACCGAGGAACATGCCCTTGTCAGCCTATCCCATCACCAAGTCCGTTCGAGCAACGGTATTGCCTGCTTTCGACGAGGTCGAACCACTCACCAGTATCTCCAAGGTTGGCCGCTGTCTCGTAGTACTGCCCGACGGTAACCATTAGTCGATTTGATCATCATAAAAAAACAGCGGGACTTGAGACGAGGTCTGGCTGGTGGGTACAAGGTGTCGTCCCCTTCTCCTCAGCACTCCTCCACCCACTTGACCTCCGTTATGCTTCAATAATGAAACGGTAATGGTGTTGGTGGCCCACCTGCTTAGCAGCGACTGGATCTCGCGGTATGCCCCAGCCGTGGCGGAAGCAATTCGCCAATTCGAAGATAGCTAGGACGAGTTCTCCCTTAGCGGCACCTCCTTTCTTTAGGCCCGCCTGTAGCGCCATGCTCTCGACCGCTGCCGCATTCGACGCTGCCGCCGACAGGTAGGTGATAGCTCGTTCGGGATCTGGATCGCAACCCCAGCCGTGCCTAAAGCTCCGCCAAAGCACGAAGGCAGGATGTTAGCTTCTCTGAACGTACTCTTGTCTTCTTCCGTAGTGGTACTTCGTGTTCGTATGTGAGCAACTTTGCCACCATCGCTCCATTCGCTTGTGTAATCTATCTAGCTACCCATAGCTACACAGAGGCCGTAAGTCTCTCTCGCTCTTCCTCTTTCGAGAAAACAGGAAAAGAGATCAGGGGCTTTCTCTAGACGGGTCTAGACGTAGCCATGTGCCAGTGAGACACGCATGAGACGAGATGAGACGCGATGCGATGCGATGCGGTGCGATGATTCCATAAATAGCAATGAAACGACCATGGTGGCGATCCAACTACTGACCTTAGAGCAAGACCGTAAAGAACCTGGCTTAGGGGGTTATTCGCGCCCTGGGGATCGGCCAGGCGCCCAAACAGCTGCGTAGACTGGTCGAGCTGCCCATCCTCGTGCAATCGGATGGCTTCCTGAATGTTGTCGTCTATCACCTTTGACGAGACTACGCCGTCCGTCTTGTGTCCGTTTCCGTTTCCCCCGTCATCGCGCAGCCGCAGTCCAGCCAATTCTGCGGAGGGCGAAGGAGACGGCGACCGAGACGGCGACACGACACCAGGCGATCTGCTGCCCCGGCGTTGCCCTCTCTCGTTCGCTTCGGCTAGTATCGTCGCTCTCTTCTCCCATTGTCCCTCGTATGCGTCCTTGTCTACACCCGCCCCTCCGACTCCTCCTTGGCCGCCACCGGATCCATCTTCGGCCGAGACGTTGATTTGCGGTAGATTTTCGGGCACGTAGTCGGACGTAGGCGGGGCTTTAGACAGGTGTAGGCGCTGTGATAGGCGGTGGTGGCCACTGGGTTGATTGCGCGAGGAGCCGTCGTTCTGGACCGAGGATGTGCTGCTGCCCCGCGATCGCGGCCTGAAGACGTCAAGACTACGGCGCGTCTTCGAAGGGGACGTTACGGCTTCTTTGGCTGTTAGGTAATTGTTATTGCCGTTAGATCCCCTCGGGTAACTCGGAGGATGAATGATCTCTTGAGTGGTTGTATCAGACCGTATGAAGGTAAACTCGGGTCCGGCGAGTCTATCTAAAGTTTCGCGATCTACGCCGCCGCCATGACCACCACCATCTAATTGATCTTTCTTTTTGATAAGATCGCGTATCCCCATGGCTTACCTAATTCAACACTTTTATCTTTTTTTTCAAAGGGTAGTGTAGTTATTGTTAAACCAAAGAAAGGTTGTATATATATAAACACGATAATCTAGTTGTAATAGTTGTAATCTACGAATATAGTTGCAGAAGTTGGAAAACAAAAATAATTAATGGAACCCGATTCCAATTGAAGGCAGTCATTTCCTTCTTTAATAGGCCTCCATTATTCAAGCTGTTAGCCCATTCCATTCAGCCCCAGCTTACCGCCGAGCTTTGAGCAACCTTAAAAAGGGGGGCTGTGATTTCCGCCGTTGAATAAAACGAATAAAACATGCTACTTTCCCCTATTTTGGCCCTTCGAGTAACAAAGGGAAACTACGAAGTACGCCTTTGTTTCAATCCTCGTGCCATTTGCCAAGTTTTGGTAGTACCAGTTTCATACTTTCATAGAGACTGGACCCTAAGCTATTGGAGCTATTGGGGCTATTGGCGGGGTTAACCATAGTACAATTATAGACCTACCTATTCAAGTCCCATAGCCAAGTCTTATAGGCTATCATCAAGGGTCAAGAATTCACATGTGAAAACAATCAAGTACTCCAAGTACTCCTTAATCACTCTCAAGATGCCATCATGATAATACAATATATTTATTTTTTATTGTAATTGACTATCTTTTGTTCTTTTTTTTCTTCCACTCAGGGTATCAACTCCTAACCGTCGCCTAAGGCGAAACGCATCGCAATGGGTATCACGAACTGTTGTACGAATAAGGCAACCTTCAAACGCCAACGGCCGTGATATGTGCCGTCTAGATGCTAGCTGATGAGCCAGAAACCGATTCTAAGAAAGGCAGTACATAATCGCCTTGGCAATACAGGCTTTGTCCAAACGAGCCACATCTTCAATGCCTAGATAGTTAGTAAGAAACCACCGAGGCTTGTTAAAATCCAATGTAATCCCTTTGCTGGACAAAATCGAGGTCCTCTGCGCCATCGTTTTTGACAAACTCCTCAACCTCATCAGAGTCGATGTCATCGCTGTCTGCTGCAGCGTCATCGTCGTCGCTAGATACGTCTGTATCCTCAGGAGATGCGCGGTTGTTTGCTTTTCGAAGGACACTCGCCCTTTCGATGTGAAGCCGCTTACAACCCTTGAGCTTACATACGCCGGTGTTGCTGAAGTCAGGACACTCGAATACATGGCGGTCAGGACATTGCGCTCCTTTCTCGCAGTATCCATAAATTCCAAAGGATCGGCATACGGGGTCTGTTGGGGAGTGTGCCGCATGGACATATGAGCACGAGGTGTTGTGGCAATTGCCCTTGGCGAAATGCACGCAGAGAGGGGTTCTCTCTTCTGTAATGTCATGTGAAAGGTCACAAGCGTCACCTTGTAGACATTTACCCTTTAAAAGATACTCTCGGCAGATGGCCGTCTTGGAAGCATCGTGGATATACCGACATCCAGGGCCTTTCGGGCATGATCCTACAACGAATCGTTAGTATCTCTACCGGGGGTCTTACCACACCGCAGGTCTCCACGAGTCGCGAGATGGGCTTTTTCGTAGTATGAAGGAAGACGATACCGGTCCATGAAAAGGTCTTGCACTGCTCGTTGACCTTCTTAACTCCGCCAGCAAATCTACCAACAGTGTTGCGTTAGCAAGAGATTCAGATCTACTTGAGAATACATACCGCTGGGCTTTTACGACACCGTGTCTCACAAGATTGCCGTGCTTAGTACGATGAAATTTGACACCACCGATTGATGTCACTTTGGGGGTAGCCGAAGGGGGGTTTACGTCGTCTAATAATTAAATGTTAGCTATTAAACGTTGCACCTGCATATCTATACGGGAAAATGCTCACCGGGTGCTTTCACAAGTTTGCTGCCTTGCTGCACGATTCGAAAGAGAATGCCATCCAACACAACCTCGTATTGGGAAGCTGGTGTGGATGCACTAGGAAGCCCAACGGGTTTACCATTAGCACCACTCTGAAGCACACTGTTCATAAAAACAGTCTTCTCGCGGTTGTTCCGTTGAAACTGCTTCTGGCGATGAGTCTGCTCTATGGCACTGGCGCGTTGCTGCGATTCCTTCTCGTATACAGAAGTGTTGATCAGCTGCATATGACGGTCGGTCTTGGTGACCCACGACGGAGACGCAGGATCGGAAGCCTCGTTGGTGGTATCACTACTATCGGCTGCAGGTCGAGATTGTCCATTGAGAACCAGAGTCTTGTTGCGATAGGTCGGGAGGGGTCTGCCACGTCCGCCACGATAGCCTCCACGAGGATACGGGGCAGCACGATAATGGGATGCTCGGGAAGGGGGGTTAGGATCTTCGGTATATTAGCATCTCTAATGATGATAAACAATTGGCGTGATCAAATAAGTTTTCATACCCGAATTCACGCCATCGCGCTGGGCTTTGTGGCGATTAATTTGACCTGGTTTTAAATGAGTAAAATATACTTAGAACATAGATGCCATGGTAAACGTACCAGCTAATTTGCTGATCTTAGCCATCAGCTCTTGATCTTCGGGTGTTGACATGTTTGCGACTAGGTGATGAGACGTAAGTCAGGTACTAGAAGTTAGAGAAAATGCCGCGTCGATCGTAAGGAAATATGCTTGACGATGAAAAGGTTGACAGATAGGTGGAATGATATGTAGTGTAATAATGAATAATGTAATGTTTATCTGGAGCGCGACTTCCTTGCTTAGTGGCAAGAAGGAGAGAGAAATCGGTTAGGGTGGATTTCCGCAGTCGCAATGAACAAAGCCGGAATGCGTGAACAACACTGACAGTGATTCTAGTTAGGCGCAGTAATAGAATCACGGTCAATGAATTTAGAGGGCGGTTTATGATGCCTATTCTTGTGAATAGGGGAGTAAAGCAAACCTTTAACTAACGTCTTGTAACCTAAGAAGACTATATCGTGATGTTTTGCGATTGTGTGATGTCTAAGACGTAAATTGCGGCGCAAGGAAGGTTTCGGGCGGGTTGGTGGAAAGTAACAGGCTAGGTGGGGCACATTAACCTTATCTAACTTATCTAATCAGAACATCGGATCAAGAAGGCACCTACGTAGGTGGTAGGTACCTCATACCTACATCATAGGCAGCTAGCTAGCTGTACATTCAATTTCGAACTCCTGTATGATTACCTAAGTCCCTTTGAAGACCCACTCAATCAGAACTGCTTGCAGTGGACCAGTGGTGGCTGATTTACATCACTACATCATTAAGCTTCTTTTAGTCTTGACACGAGCCGCGCCTTTCAACATCAACATCCAACTGTTCCACCGCATCGCATCGCATCCACACGCCACATTTCTGGAGCAATCTAAATCGAAACCATTACAGCATACAACATACACCATCATTCGAAAGAGCTAAATCCCCTTCTTGACGCCCTTCCTATTGGATATAGCGGATACAGCCGTCAGCATGGCTGCACCCAGAGTCAAGCCCGAGCAGGGCATCAAGCCTGAGCCTAGCATCAAGTCCGAAGCTGATGATGTTGGCCCTTCCCCCGGAGCTATGTCGGAAGATGACATCTACGAAGACGCCGGAGATCTTGAGTTCTACGACCCGAGCGATTTGCAAGATGGATCAGTTTACTTGACCCACGTACCAAAATATCTTTACGATGCCTGGGCGAACATGGATGACAATGACGAAATTAGAATCGGTACTCTACGCCAGTGGTCAGAGGTCGGTCCAAATGGAGAATCAAAGGTGAATTAACACTCATCATTCCGAAACGCCTATAAACCCCAGCTAATCCCGTCATAGCCACGTATAGCTATCCTGTTGGACCATAAACTTGCGCCCCATCAGCAGATCCCCAAAGAATACAATTTGGAGGTTAAAGATATGAGCCTTACCAATACATTTCTATTCACTGAGCAAGATCTCCCTGGCTACAAATCGAAGCCTCAAGGAGCCAATAGCAATATTCCTCCATACCTCCGTCCGAAGCCAGAGCGTCCCCCGCAGAACGCGCAGACTGAGGGCGAAAAGCGTGGCCGTAAAGCCCGATTTCAACCCTATTACAGGAAGGCTATTCCCAGTCAGTGACGCATTTCCATCTACATCAGCATTCAGTTTCCGCTTCAGAACACTAATTGGTTGCAGAGAAAACGGTTCTTGCTGGTCGATTCCGCCACGAGCTGAACTGTCGACCGGCTTGGACAGAAGAGACTAAGCATTGGCTCAGCATAAGAAACAATGATGCGATGAAACCGAAGGCCACCACCACGCTTACCTCTACCGCAAGACCTACCGGTCTTATCCAAGCTGGCGCGCATGTTTCCAACGATAAATTTAGCAACTTTGTTGTAAGTCTTCTCTTGACACTAATCTCTAACCCTGCCAGTGCGCTAACATTTTCAGCGCACTGGTCCTGATGCCAAGAAGGGAACCAAGAAGCAGAAGGAAGAAAAGGCTGCTCGTTTACCGAAGAGCGAGCTGCGCGATCGTATCTTCAGATGCTTCGAGCAATTCAACTATTGGTCTATGAAAGCTTTCAAACAAGCACTAAACCAGCCGGAGGCTTGGCTACGAGAGAACTTGGAGGAGGTGGCAATCCTCCACAAGACCGGACGTTTTGCCAATCACTGGGAACTGAATTCAGATCACAAGGGAGGACTCAATGTCCTCGAAGCCAACGGTGCTGCACCTGATGCCGCTCCCGAAGAGGACGAATCGGAGTCTGACGCGGAGATGGAGGATGTTCTTCCATAATCGGAGCACGGGAGAGAGTTCCGTCGGGAGACACGAGTGACTAAAGGCCGTACGGCAAGGAAAAGGAGTTACGGCGTCTTTTACGGTTATGATACATACTTAGGGACCTTGTACCATAAATGATACCCTCGGCATCGCACAATCAGGACTGAGGTTTAGTGGTCAGAGTCTGCGCAAGTTCAGACTACATGAAATTCATCACTGCTGCGCAATAGACTTCGCAAAGTTTAGAGAGAAAGCGACATGTTTGTACATTGATCGATATGCGAAGCGGCAATCTGTTTCTAGTGTTTTTGATAGTTTGGTTTCTAACGTTGTTATGAGCCAGCTTTAGCAAATATTGACTCACTTGACATATTCATACTAAATGAATTGCTGTGTATTTTTTTCTTGGGCACATACTTGAACCTAGTAATGAATTCACTCGGTCAAGCTATCTTACGTCAAATTAAATATAGGACCCCTTTTCAAGACCCCATGTACTTCCGTACTCCTCATAAGAGCCCTGGAGATTCCTTACATTAGATATCTCCACAATTATATTACCTAACTCCAGCCAACCAAAACCGAAATAACAACGACCCCTTTTTCTCCTTTTCCCCACTCTCCATCATCCCCCTTCATGTACCTTGTATTCACATTCATAATGAGCATCTTCCTAGACTTCGATGGGACGATCACGGTGAAAGACACCGTAGGCGAACTAGCTAACTTCGCTCTGCGCGTTAGAGCAGACGAGGGCCAGGACCTGCAGAAGGAATGGGATGCCGTCGTCAACGCTTACGTCGACGACCATAGCGCGCATGTAGACGGGTACCATCCCCAGCCGCACGCGCGCAGTTTACCTGCCCAGGAAGTGGAGTTTCTGCGGCATACGAAGACGGTTGAGACGCGCTCGCTCGGCCGTATTAATGACTGTCGCCTCTTTAGAGGGATCAGTCCGACTGCTTTTCGCGAGGCTGGCCGGGACTTGGTTGGCAAGGGCACGATTACGCTCCGGTGTGGCTTTACCCGGTTTGTTCAGGAGAGGCTGAAGCAGGGCTGGCGCGTCTGGGTTCTCTCTGTGAACTGGAGTTCGGCGTTTATCGAGGGCGCGTGCGGCGAGCTGCCCGGCGTTAAAGTCATCGCGAACGATGTGCGCGAGGACGGGTCGGTTGCCGGGCCTCCTATATTGAACTCGGGGGGTGTGGATGGTGGTCATACCGGGGAGCCGAGGAATCTGACGAACTCGCATGATAAGCTAGATGCCATGAAAGCCGTGCTTGAAGCCGAGGGGCTGGTCGGGAAACCGTCCGTCTACTTCGGCGATTCAACGACTGATCTAGAGTGCTTGCTCGCGGCTGATATGGGGTTCGTTGTGTCGGATAAAGAAGACTCGTCGCTGTTGAAGACTCTTCGGAGGATAGGGAAAGATGTTCCTCATGTCCGGGATCAGGGTACGACGAGTAGTCTTGCGTGGACTTCAAATTATAGAGATATACCGGATGACAAGTTTATCCTTAGTTGAGAGAACGAATGAATTAACCCCTTTTTTTTTGGTAATTGTAGTCAATCTTTACTAGGTTATGTTGTTTGGTTTGTTTACTTGAGATGTATGTATGTTTAAGGTCGTTATTCAACAAGTTATTTTACTGGCACGGATTTTATACAAACCAGCATAACAGTCAATACATCCGATCGTAGCCTCTTAGGGTTCCTGTTATTTAACATGTTTTGTCAGATGTAATGAAGCTCCTGCTGCAAATATTTGCGCACTTATAGCACAATTTGCTATCCAACGCCCGCCGTTCGATTCGGGGGTAGATAAATCTTTCAATTATATGACTTTCTTTTCCTGCTTTTCTCACTTGACCTGATATAAATGATGATTGCCTACTATTGTAAGTAGACACCACCTCGTAAATACGCGTTGCCTTCCCGCCATCACACTTATTCCGAGACACAATTGCAAATCTTTTATTCAGCTTTTCCTTAAACCTCTTATCCAGCAAGCATATTGATATAAAATCTCCATGTTTGTCAACCTCTTCTCCTAGGCGTAGGCTATTAAAGGTGTGCAACACTTTTGTTACAGTTATAGTTCAAGCCTAGCAATCTGGATCTACCTCCTTTAAAGAAACGTTAGCCATGTCGCTAGAAAGTGAGCCTAGATTAAATCCCTTATACCATAAACAACTGTCTGAGGGAATTAGTGATCTCATCTCCTTCAAGCAAGGGCAATTGGACTATGGAAGGCGGGTAAAAAGTCTATAGCTGCAGTATGGCATGTCTATCCTAGTACGCTAGGGCACAGTGCTGAGCTGTGGGTTGGATTGGATGGTAGGTAATCGTGAAGAAATCCTCGAGATTATTATAGCGGGAAACTTAGATTTCGAAATAATCAGACTCCTATGCCTATTAATTCTACCTCAATTCATGCTAATCTTGTCTAAAATTATATTATAAAAACGGTTTTGGTTTTTCTGGTTTGCTTCTCAAATGGAATCTAAGATACTTTTATTGGTATTGTGTGCTATTAAGTCTTCAACTTCGCAATCTCTTCTATAAAGCATCCATTGCTGGTTCTTCCATGTTTCGCTTCTTAACAGATACCTAACCTAGATAGGTACTTGAGTATTTTATTTCTAAGTAGGGTCCTGTCTAAGCCTTTGAGAAGAGCCGGTTAGAAGTTACAAAACAAATACTATTGTAGTTAGGCAAATGTGACAATATGTAATTGATACTAAATCATATTTAATTAACATATTTCACGAGGTTTCTAGTACTTACTTGAAAATTATTTAGCAACAACTCATCTTCTCGGGAAACAGTCGTATTTTGTAAGATACCGGATAGGTAACTCTGAATATGCCCGAGAGTAAGGCGTGCTTAAGGGGTGACTACGTGAAGACAAAGACTAAGAAAAGCCAAGGAGCCATCCTAACTTTTTGGATCTGAGATATGACCTAGCACATGAGTGGCTCGATGATAGGCAAGAGTTCATCTGATATGAGCTTGACTCAGTCTAGACACATATGCCATTTAATCATTCATAACCTCTCCTAGATATCTATTCGGAACTTGGTTGCATTATCGCGCCCATACTGTAAGCAGCAGTTGTACAAGTTACTGTACTTTCTCTTCGCTGTAGTATCACCATGACCGTAGCTTAATATCGACATTACACATATGCGGCCTCGTCGTTGGAGATGATTCACGTATCATACATTGGCAGCGTGTTTGATGATGGCGACTACAAACCCTTTGTCAATCCTTCGTCGGCCCTTCGTCAACCAAGAGTTCCCAGCACATCTCCTGGAAGGTCTCGAAGTATCTGCTAGGTAGGTAGCCATCATACTTAAACATGTCCATGGCTCTCATCATCCCTCTGCCAACCATCCCAAAAGAACCTTTCTAGCAACATTTACTCGAAACCTACCTTACCTGGCTTAGAAGTATCATGAGTTCCGGTACCACCGAGTCAATAGTCCCTAACGGGACTGAACGAGAGGCGCTTCGCCAGAGGTTCGAAAAGGGAACCATACCCTCTGGCGGACGCAGAACATATTACGACTGGTATAGCACACCTTACGCTGCTAATATCCCACCGAACCGAGGATACGCACCCCCCGGGCCACCTCCACCATACGCTCCGCCTCCGTACCCCTATCAGTCGAACTATACTCAAACGGCACCACCGGCTAGACCGTACTACCCTAACGTCAGCTCGAGCCAACAACCTTACCCGGGTCCGTCCCCAGGATACCACAATACGAGATCTTTTTCAACTTGGCCTCAACAGGCAGTACCTCCCAGGGCACCAAATGCCCCCCCTGTTCCTCCTTTTCGATCTCCCAGGATAGCAATGAACGCCCAACACTCTGGGTCCGCAGACCCTAACCCATTTATGTATCTCGAGCACCATGCCTCCGGAAGTCCATTCGCTAACTATCCCGCGGCGCCAAGGACCAGCCACCAACAAATCCAACCAATGGCCCCGGTGAACCTAGATGTGCGACCAGAGACAATGTCATTCTGGACAGAACAAGAGCTCTACCAGTGGATGGCCAACATATTCAGGCCACTTGTAGGCATTGTAGGACGCATCGTCCGGGAACAGCTGTACCTGCAAGAGCAGCCAAAGGTCAAATTCGACATGTACCCAGTACGAGCCGACGATGTCACCGGTGTGCCTATGATGGTACCACAATCCATGTCGCGCGCCCCCATGTTCCAAATCACGCTCCCGGCTCCCGGAGGCACCAGGGCTGACCTCAAGAAGGTGCGGGACGCTCTAATCGACGAGTTCGCGACACACCCCAACGCCTGGCACCGACAGGCCGGGTTCGTGTTCCGGATTCCGCGGCAGCTTCGAGTAGGAGCGTCCGCCGCTGCGAGGAGGTCCTGGGTTCCGCCGTCGTGTGTCTATAGATACTCGCGCACCGCGCGGCGCTACGTAGCGCAGTATCTCACGCCGATCCTAGAGGATCTTCGGGAGCTCGATGCGGCTTTTGTTCACGGCGATGATAGCGACGATGATCAGGACGCGCTGGTGAATGAGATGTGGAGGGATGTGCGGAGCCGGAGCTACTTTGCGTGCTACCAAGATCCTAGTAGGTAGTTGGGCAAGGGAAGGGCCAAATAGGGGGTGGGAGGGAGACATCGATATAGGAGATTTCGAACTCCGGTCATTGAAGACGGGGTTTTGTCACAGGGCTTACATTTATTATTATTGCCTTGATCGAGCCCCTTTCCGACTAGGATTGTCGGTGTAGGAAAATACCAGTTTTGCGATTGTTTTTACAGCTGAGAGTAACTCAGGAATTAGTATATTTGAATATATTTATGTATCACCAATATTTTTTCTACTTGCTATCTTTAATATCTTTCCTGAAGTAGGATCATCTTGGCTAGGCAAGTTAGCCATGCCGTTTTCGAGTTGAAGTAGAGCTTATATAACGTAGAATGAAAGACAAAGCAAATCGCGTGGTAAATACTCCGATGAGCAGAATCAATCAAGTTTTATGGAGAGCTTATAGGATATAAATCAAAATAACTTCTAACATGTGCGCTTGCATACATTAGATTCACATGTGAACACCTTTCTGCGACTTCATGCTGATTACCCGTTAAAGACACAGGATGGTATAAAGGGGTTTATGTGCTAGGTTAACCTCCTTCTAAACTGCTTTGGATAAGACAATGCATGTCATTCTATACTGAAGCCTAAGCTAAATGAAGAGGACAAGAACCCATTGTTATAGAACTAAGTAGTATGAAAGGGAAAAAGCTCGTACAATTCTATTGTTAACTGAGATACATATAATACCTCCCGGCTTATACTAAATAGTTGTTTTCCAAGCTGTACGATAATTAAAGCATAGATAATTCTTAGCCAACGACCATCTCCACTAGAACTTTTGCTCGTAACCAATAACTCTAGCATTTCCATTGGAAGATGTGTCATCATCGGAAGATTATCTATCAGTGCAACCACACTGCCATAGACCCTTCTCCCCTGAAGGCCTGCGAGGTGCAGCAGGACTACGAGTCGGGGTTAGCTTCGGGATCATGCGACGTTGTAGAGACACATGGACGGAGTAACTTCAAAGTTCCTCGTCTTTGCTCACCTTGTCATGACAAGAAGACTAGCCTTGATAGCCGGCTGAGCAGGGCAAAGTCACTGATAGCGGGCCTAAAGAAGCAGTTAAGTGAAAGTTACGGCCAGTGTGTATTGCATATGGACGAGGCTGGCTTAGAATCCGAGAAAAAGGAGGAGGCTACGCTGGTGGTATTGAAGGAGGCGACCACCGTGGAGTCGGATAGTGTTGGCGATGATCCTGATGAGACAATGGAGAAAGTCGACCCTGTCGAGGAGTTCCTAAGGAAGAAGAAACAGGAGAGTTACGCTCATCTCATGATGATCTCGGATTATAGTAATTAGGTCAGGTCAAGGGTAGGTATACTTCAATAGAATTTGCTTATAAACAGTTACTCCTACAGGCCTCGAAGGCCGTAAGATAGACTTCCGTATAAACTAGAAGTCTTCATGTGACTTAAAAGCCTTGTAATATAAAGTCTTTAAATAATCTTTATGGATATTTCGTGAACCTAGTAGAAAGACCAACGCCTGTTCGTGTACCTTCTAGCAAGTGAACACTGCAACTTACCCACACACACGTATATATATATATGTACCTATACAGCCTACTCAATGACCGACTCCTTTCACTGCATCATCATCATCATCATCCACCAGCCTGTACCAACATACCTTATAAGAAGCTTCAAAATATCCCCACAACCAAGGCTCCTCGAACCACACTATCCCGCCCGAAGCAAAGATCACCAACAACAAAATGCCACTCTCAGAGAGAATACAAACCATAGTGAAGTATATGAATTATGTGGTCATAATACTAGTAATCTTAACGACCGCTCTCAACGTGCTAACGAGTCCCCCTTGTCCCACTAGCTGTGCTACGGATTGCAATGAGATAATGAGTAGAGTCATTGAGTCATGGACCAAACACTGGGGAATTGGAAAACAATATACCTGTTTCAACTAAATGAACCGCAAGGGGGGGAGGGGGATGTTGATACGTATATGACGTCTAAGAGGGAAGTTACATAGTTGTGATATTTCATCGTTGAACGCGCTGGCGCGTGAGGATCGTGTACTTACAGTACAGTATAACGCGGTATTATACCCCTCGCTCAAATGTATAATTATTTAGTGCCTCTATTTGGGGTAGGCAGAGGGACACAGGTCTTTTTATCATAGGATGGCTTATAGTTAGACATTGAGAATAATGATAATCTCCACTTTACCTTTATTTCTTTATCTTCTACTATCTCATATCTTGTAGTTGTGTCTTGTGAATATGTCGAAAGTAAAGGAAACTGTGGACGTATATTCATCTTCCTATTAGGCCGATAGAGCTCGATATACTTACAATCTAGTACCTTGGACAAAGAATCATTTTAGAGCTCGTCACTGTCGCTATCTTATGTCTATTAACCTCCAAACCGTAGAATCGGACATGATACGCAAGCACAGATGGGTATATTATCGACTTGTCAATTGATCGTGGTATTGTTCGTCAGCGTCGCGTACATAAGGATATGGGCTCACGTGTCATCGCCATGCCCTATGAAATCCTGTTCCAGACAATTTCTCTAAGCCTGAACCTTGAATGTTCTTCCACTTGCCGTCTTCCTCTCCTTTTCTTCGTTCTCGGGTCGGGCTCTTCGGAGTACTGTGCTGATGATTAGTATATAAACCCCTTACAATGACGAATACAATCGTACCTTGCAAGAAGTCTGCTGTTCGACTTCTCATACGGGAGTGAATGTACGCCTAGCCATCTCGTTAGAAGATCCCATGAGTAGTTGGGACCAGTATCCACGTACCTTGGAGGCTTTAATGTGATAGTGAAAGTAGTCTCGGAAGGTCTGAATGTGAGAGATGACGTCGGGCATTCGCTGGGGCGTCAGGTGTCGTGGGAATAAAACTACCGAGGTTAGTAGGGAACTTCGAATAGCCTGTATTATAGAACATACCAAATGTGACATATCCAATTTCATTACCTTCGGTGGCCTGCACGCCAGGAACCCCTTGCAATTCTAGGGGCGGATCATTCCTAAACAGAACTTGGGGTGCATTTTGGATGGCTCTCCTTCGGGCGTCGACGAATTCTTGAATAAAGACCTTCCCAAATACCCTGTCTGTTTCCTCGCGGAAGATGGTGCTGAAGATAACAGTTACACGATCGTGGCTTGCCTTGACGTAGATAGCTTCCTCGTCACGGTAGTGGATAGCCATAACCTCACCGCCTTCTCGAACACCTTGAGGTGCTTCTTCCGATGTGTACTTCGAAGCATCCTCCTTCAACTTGTAGTGTTCGGCATAGGCATGCTCGAACGGGGCAGCCATTGCGTTCCGCTTCAGTAAGGAGATCTTGCTGACCAACTCATCTCGTGCCTCTGCAAAACCCGTCAATATGATCCAAACCAGGCAAGACTGTATTGTATTATGCAATTACCCTTTTCCTCCGGTAGGTTCTCTAAGTCGACTTGGATCGAGAAATCGTAGCCGGTCTCGGGTGCTACGACATAGGGGCCATATTCGCGCTGGAGTACCTGCTCGGCACCGTACTTGACAAGATCCCTAAAGCATCGGATTTGAATGGAGACCAATATCTTGGTCTTAGTCTCTGGGGTTGAAATGTGGAAGATTACGCCATCGAAGTCGGAAACGGTCTGGTCGATAGAGGCGGGAGGAGCTCTAAGTACATTATCATATGGTTAGACTAGGGGCGAGACATAATAAATAAACTTGGTTCTTAAACTTACCCAAATAGTCTTTCTTTGAGAATAGACTCTATTAATACGTTCTGATAGTCTAGAAGCAGCATGATGGCTAGGGATTGACTTCTTCTGCTTGCTTCCTGACAACGTTTGTGCGGTATGAATCGGGACGTGGAGCTGAATGTATGGAAATATGGAAATATGGAAAGGTCCGACGAGGTTCAATGAGATTCAATGAGATTCAATGCTGCCTTGGTGGGGCTTAGGTACCTAGTATGCAGTTACGCGATTACGTAGCAAAGCGAGGACTATGCATGTCATTCTCCTTTATCCTTATCCATCTTCTTATCGAAAAAGAAGTTCCGATAAGAGATTCTTATCGCGCGTCTCCAGAGAAAAAAAGTTACCGCGATTGAATTTCTCGAGCAGAAGAAGTCAAAACTTCCAAACTCCAATTCCGTCGCAACCATGGTCAAGTCATACTTGTGAGTACCAAGCCATTGGTGCGTAGTCGCATATAGATCGCGCTAATAATGATCCAATACTAGAAAGTATGAGTATTCAAAGTCGTTCGGCGTTGTAGCTTCCAGTACATCGAACATCCTTTGGACACAGCAGAACCGCTCTAGTACCGGTGCTGGCCAAGCGCTTGTCGCGGCGAACGAAGAGCTCCTATGCTGGGACATCAAGACGGGAGATATTGTTGAACGATGGAGAGACGAGAAATGCTCCGCTCAGGTGACCGCCATTGCCCAAAGTCAGATCAATGAAGACCTGTTCGCTGCCGGCTACGAGGATGGCAGCGTCCGACTATGGCGGAGCAAAGACCCGAGTCCCTTCATCACCTTCAATGGACATCGTTCGGCCATAACAGTCCTAGCGTTCGATCGATCCGGCGTCCGACTTGCGAGCGGTTCGAAAGACACCAATGTTATTATCTGGGATCTAGTAGCAGAGGTCGGCCAGTTCAAGCTACGAGGACATAAGGACCAGATAACGGGACTGCAGTTTGTGGAACCGCAAGAGGAAGTGCAAGAAGGAGAAGATTCTGAGGCCATGGTTCTTGACGGTGCAGGCGACTCTTCGTCCGAAGGCTTCCTGCTTACTACTGGAAAAGATGCGCTGATTAAACTCTGGGATTTGGGGTCGAGGCACTGCATTGAAACGCACATAGCGCAAACTAATGGCGAGTGCTGGGCATTGGGACTTTCTCCAGACTATAGCGGATGCATAACTGCTGGCAATTCTGGTGAACTGAAGGTCTGGGCTCTCGACGCCACTTTGCTCGCCGCGTCGAGACAGCAAGTCGATATTCCTACTAATACACAATATCTGCGAGATCGAGGGACCTTGTTTCGACACGGAAAAGACAAAGCTACCGAGGTTGTGTTCCACCCCCGCCGGGACTACTTCGCCGTACACGGCTCAGAGAAATCTGTCGAGATATGGAGGATACGTACCGAAGCCGAGATCAAGAAGAGCCTAGCGAGAAAGAAGAAGAGAAGAAGGGAGAAGCTTGCGCAGAAAAAGGGGAGCACTACAAACGGCGACGCCCAGCCAGATGACGAGGATGACCAGGACGAGGATATTAGCAGTGCCGACATTAATGACGCTTTTGCTCAGCACCTTATCATTCGGACGGGTGGAAAAGTGAGGTCTGTCGATTGGGCTGATATTCATGGCAAGAAGAAGCTTCAATTGCTAGTCGGTACAACAAATAACCAGCTGGAAATGTTCAATATGCCTCTAAAAGAGAAGAGTAAAAAGTCAAAGCAGGAAGACGTTCCCGATTACGAGAGAGCTTTATCTATTGAAATTCCTGGCCATCGAGCGGATATACGATCGTTAGCTCTTAGCTCCGACGACAAATGGCTCGCCTCGGCCTCCAACGGAGGTCTCAAGATCTGGTCGATGCTGACGCAGAAATGTGGCAAAACCTTGGAGTGCGGGTATGCTCTATGTTGTGCGTTCTTACCCGGAGACAAGCTTGTCGTCATTGGTACGAAAGGCGGCGACATTGAACTATTTGAAGTGGCTACAGGTACTTTGCTAGATAGCGTTACTGCACACGAAGGCGCGATTTGGTCCTTACAAGTTCATCCGGACGGTAGGTCAATCGTATCTGGAAGCGCGGACAAGTCGGCCAAGTTCTGGAAGGTCCAGGTGGTGCAAGAGGAAGTCCTAGGAACGACTCGGACTACATCGCGTTTGAAGTTATCGCATTCGCGAACATTAAAGGTTTCGGATGACATCCTAAGCCTTAAGTTTTCACCAGATGCGAGGCTTTTGGCTGTTGCTCTACTGGATAGCACGGTGAAGGTGTTCTTCGTAGACTCCCTCAAATTATATCTCAACCTCTACGGACACAAGCTACCGGTCCTAGATATGGATATCTCATACGACAGCAAGCTGATTGTTACATGTTCAGCGGATAAGAATATCAGGATATGGGGTCTTGATTTCGGTGATTGCCACAAAGCATTATTGGGACACCAGGACAGTATTCTCCAGGTCAAATTTCTGCCGAACAACCGCGAAGGCAATGGTCACCACTTCTTTAGCGCTAGTAAAGACCGAACGATAAAATACTGGGATGGCGATAAGTTTGAGCAAATACAGCGGCTTGATGGTCATCACGGAGAAATATGGGCTCTGGCGATTAGCCAAAGCAGCGAACCTCCCTTCATCGTTAGTGCCAGCCACGACAAGAGCATCCGAACCTGGGAAGAAACAGATGAGCAGATATTCCTCGAGGAAGAGAGGGAAAAGGAGATCGAGGAACTGTATGAGAGCACATTAACGAAATCCCTGGAGCAAGATCTAGATGCAGACGAGGATAACGGAGAAATTGGGGCCGCGACAAAGCAAACATCAGAAACGCTGAACCATGGCGAACGAATCGCAGAGGCATTAGAGCTCGGCATGGCTGACTTGCACGTCATGCGGGAATGGGAAGAGGCCAAAGCGTCAAACCCGAATGTTGCGCCGCCGCAGCGCGACCCGATGTTCATGGCCCATGGCGGAATTAGTGCTGAAGAATACGTTATGAAGGTCCTTCAGAGACCGGCAGCATCCGCGCTGAACGATGCGCTCCTCGTTCTTCCGTTCGCCTCGGTCCCTATCCTTTTCACTTTCCTTAACCTCTTCGCTATGAGGTCGATGAACATCCCCCTGACATGTAGGATCTTGTTCTTCATGCTAAAGACACATCACCGCCAAATAGTAGCCAGCAGGACTATGCGAGTGATGCTAGACGGGATAAGATCAAACCTGCGGAAAGCTCTCCAGAGACAAAAGGACGAAATGGGATACAACATAGCAGCGCTCAAAATTGCGGGCATGCAGATTCAGGATAAGGGAATTAAAGACTACGTGGACGAGAACTGGGACGACGGCACCGGAGCTCAGAACGTTAAGAAACGGGCTTTCGTACATGTATCGTGATAGAGTTGGACGATGCATTAGGTATCTCTACCTATATATAGTGTTTACATGGTATACCAAATTTATAAAAATAGAAAGCACCAAACTTTATTATCTTAGTGGTTTAAGACTCGGGATGTCATGTACCTAGTGTATGAACTGCTATGTACATACATACATACCTTCAATTTATACCGCGTGCAAACTTAAGAGTCCGGTCCAATGATATCATCCCTTTCGAACTCTCCCGCATACGCTAGCTCGGCCGAGGGTGTCTTGGCAGGAGACTAGAGCTCCTTTGTGCTACTTAGTGTACATATGTACATAGCTACCTACCCCTCCCCCGCAAGAGCTCAGCAATAGGATGGGAGGGTTAAGTGGAGTTTGTCCGTTACCGCCTGCCGGGTTCGTAGCCGTACCTCGGTATCTCCTGCGACGTCAATTCCTCGTTTTGCTTTGGGCGGGTTGAGCTTGGGTAATTTGCCAATTATCTTATTTTAGGTACTTTTACTTACCGATGAGATGTGATGGGTTTTGTTTCTTGTAATTGTTCTTGCTTTGCTCTTACCAGTTACCACTAGTTACACCACTACGCTACGATAGCTATACTTCGATCTAGACCGGACTATGGTCGTAATCGAGTAGACAGACAGACGGACAGACAGCATCTGATATCCCCTTTCCTTTCCGTCAGCTTCGTGTTAGCTCAGCATCTCGACCATGGCGGGCCAAGTACGGCATCCGATCGATACAGCAGCGTTAGAACGCTACATAGCTCAGAACGTCCCCGAGATCAAGCTACCGCTAGACGTGAAGCAGGTTCGTTAACCTAGACAATCCTATCTCAGCATTGAACCTATACATGTATCACCTAATAGACCACACAACTAACTAACAACAAATCCCAGTTCGGCTTCGGCCAATCCAACCCAACCTACCAACTCACCTCCCCCAACAAAACCCGCTACGTCCTGCGCAAAAAACCCCCCGGCAAACTCCTCTCGCAAGCCGCGCACAAAGTCGAACGCGAGCACCGCGTCATCGCCGCCCTCCAGCACACCCCCGTCCCCGTCCCCCGCGCGTACGCCCTCTGCGAGGACCCCGCCGTCCTCGGCACCCCCTTCTACATCATGTCCTTCGTCGACGGCCGCATCGTCCACGACCCGTCAATACCCTTCCCACACGCCCGAACCCCCGCCGAGCGCGAGGCCCTCTGGCGCGCCGCGGTCGAAAGCCTAGCCGCTTTACATAGCGTCGACCCGGATGCCGTGGGCTTGGGCACGTTCGGGAGGAAAGGCGGGTTTTACGCGCGCCAGCTGGAGACTTGGACGCACATCTGCCGTGTCCAGGCTCGCGCTAGGGATGTCGAGACCAAAGAGCCGGTGGGCGCGATACCGCATATGGACGAGCTGGTGGCGTTTTTCGCCGACGAGGCGTTGCGGCCGCGGGATAGAGCTACGCTTGTGCATGGCGATTACAAGATTGACAATGTGGTGTTTGCGCCCGAGGAGCCGCGTGTGGCGGGCATTTTGGACTGGGAGATGAGCACGATCGGACACCCGCTGTCGGACCTGGCGAACTTGCTCAATCCGTTCTACCTTGTTTCGTTATCGCAGTCACCGTCTTTCGCCCCGTATTCGTCGCCGTCGTCTTCGAAAGATGGGGTTCCGAGTCAGAGCGAGGCTATAGCGGCTATAACCAACGCAGGTTTCCTCCCCGGTGCTACACCCGGCCTTCCCACACCCTCCACGGTGTTATCTTGGTACGCGGCCGCCGCGGGGTGGGATCCACGACCCGACGAAGTAGCTTGGGCTTGCGCGTTCAGCGTGTTCCGGCTCGCGGCTATCTGCCAGGGCATCGCGGCGCGTGTCGCTACGCGTCAGGCTAGTAGTGCCGACGCTCGTCGACATGCTGCTGCTGTACGACCGCTCGGCGAGTTTGCGTGGGAGCTGGTGAGGAAAGAGAAGGAGAGACGGACGGCTACGTCCAGTAGTAGCGCGAAGCTATGATGAATACATATCTACCATCGTCGTATTTTTGCCACTCTCACTGTGTTGCTAAGGCTTTGAATCTAAAGTGAAGGATTTGGCTAGACGGAAGTAGGAAGTTTTACATCTTGCTGGAAGCTTCCAAACAGTGGTGAGATTACTTGGGCCGGAATATGAGCTACGATCACAAAATCAGCATTCATCTCGTGTATCATTTAATTAGGTTAAGCCAACATATTTGTATTTATTTTCAATGAGTCATTAGTTATACAAATCAATAGCTTTGAACAGCTACCTACGTTAGATAGTGTACAATGACAAGTAGCACTTTAAGAATCTAAACAAACTCTCGTAAGCTCGTGAGCTTATATACCCCTTTAAAGCTTTACTTTTCAATACAGCAACAAGTCATTACATTACATAGGTAAGCACATCAAGACATCGCAAGCTATAAAAGCACGTCGCTCAATTAGAGCCTATTTGGCTATCTGAATTAATGAGTATGGTTAACCCTTCACCGCAAATCTGTTTCGGGGCGGGGAGTCAAATATATGCATTCATGAAGAAGCCATATCGCCTTGAGGCCGAATAGAAATCCCTATCAAGTTTTTGTTTCGGGGGAGGAGACTTCCCAGTCTAATAACCGTCTCCTAGAAATGAATTTCATGCCTGTCGTCAAATCCGGCGGCCCGCTGAAATCGAAGCCGTCCGTGCTGAATGGGAAGAAAATATCATGGTGAACCTGATCTGCGTGCGTATCGTGCGTAAAACTTATAGCCGCCCTATCCGGCCCCTAAACCCTCGCCCTCCCTAACGCCTAGCAAAATATGTCTCCGGAGTTGAGTAGAACAAGTGTCGGTAAAATAACTACCCTCGCGAAATCCTCAAATCAACAACCTACGAATCGTGCCAAACCATCGATATACCGTGTGCGCAAAATAAAGAAAATCGATGCAGATCTCTATGTGGATTACCTGCTCCATAAGACGTCGCATGCACGAATGAAAAAAGAAATAACAACTTAGAAGCGCCAGATTGTTGCCCCCCCTATCGCCTGTTATCGGAACGCACAATTCGTCCCAGTCTATTACCTTGCGGTAGATACCAAGAATCCTGTGTTGCTCGCATCATATTTAGAGGTATTGACATCGGGTTTCTGTGATAGTGAGGGGGGAATCCAGGAGGAGGATTTAGGTCCGGGTTTCCCATCGCGTGTCCCTATGACTGCTGGTGGGAAATAGCCCCCCCGTAGATAGGCTCGTCAGCATTAGACATGTAGACTTCTGGGCCTGCATATGTCGGGGACATCGGCGAGGCATGCTGTGAGCGCATATGGGGTAGTGTAGGATAATCTTCCCCATTGCTACCAGAACCTGCGATAATTAATGGATTCAGGTACGGCTCAGGCGGTGCTCCTCCCATCTGTGGCGGGAACTGGAAAGCAGGACCATTCGCATCAAATGTCGGCCGGGCAGTTGTATTCGACGAGGATGTAGAATGCTGGCGATTGTGTGAATGGTTCGCATTCGGTCTGCTGAGCCAGGGGTACTGCTGCAGCGAATTGTTAGTAAATTTTACTTCCTCTCACAAGGCTTCGAGGAATGCAAGCTAAGAATTACAGGGGTACTTTGGAGACGAACCTGAGCTGGGGTGGCACCGTTTGATGAGAAATGCGGCCGTCCAGAGGGGAATCCTCTCAAGCTTCCGTGGCGAGGACGCACTCTACGTCTGCCGTCGCCAGCCTCGCTAAACGGAAGCGGAGAGTGACGATCCCCGAAATTGCCATGCCAAGCTGGTGTTCGAGAATTATACATCGACGGATTATCTTGTCTTCTAGCCGAAGCACCACTTAATGCAGTGTACTCGAGGTCTGGGAACGGGCTATATCACGTGTTAGTATAGGGGCATGGTATCATAGTAAAGTACAAATACCTCGAAGCTAAAGCTGCTAAACCGCCCAGCGTATTGTCAGCAGGTCGCCCGAGCGAATCTGGCTCGCTACGTTCGTGCTCTCGGGCGTTCCGGTTCTGCATCTGCATCTGCATCGCCACCTGGTGATGCTGGCGTAGGAATCGATAGACGTTATGAGCATTCATCGCGTTTCGATATTGAGGCTCCGATGGGACTTTATCCCTGCAGTAGGGGCAGCTGTCCGATTCTTCAAACCACTTCTTAATGCAATGATCTCCAAAGACGTGCTTGCACTTTGGCAGCCGCAGCGGGTTTTCACTGATGCCTTCGGGAGTCTCGGCTCCATAGTCGTTATAGCAGATCACGCAGGCTAAGCACCATTAGCTAGAATTACTCAACAACTGGATCGACATTAAAACTCACTCCTTTCATTTTCCGGCAAATACGAAATTGCCACACTCTCGAGGGAAGTGATTGCTTTCTTAGAGGCGACTCTCTTATTTGACATTGCCCCCCTAATAAGTTGGTGCGCTCTCAAACGTTCGTCAGATGCGTTGTCTAAACCGGGTGCACTGTTGACGGCAGCCTCCAAGAAGGAAAACGCAGCCGCATCGGGTTCGGAGTCGTCATCGCTAGACCAGCCCGACTCAGATGGCAATCGCGGGACAGCCCGTCTGTTTCGGGTCGCACTAGCCCGGCGCGGCTCGGAGCTTGCTGTCTCGTTTGACATGTCGCTGGTTCGAGGACCACCAGGTGCTCGGCGGTGAGGCGAAGATGAGGCTATGGCAGAATCATGGTTAGAATAATCCTAATATAGGAGCAAGCGTTATAAATAAATATTAGTAGCGTACCTGAGTTAGAGGATCCGTAGTCAGTCTGTCCACCCGAAGGAGTAGTTACGTCGGAAGTCGTAAAAGGTGATGGCATACTATGACGAGTAAAAGAAGGATTGTGCTGGCTCGACTGCTGAGCGGGGTGTGAAGTTTGGGGAAATGTTGTTTGCAAGTTTTGGCTTGCAGTTGCAGGAGGCATCGAGGTGAGGGATGGTAAGGTTGTCCTTGGGCCATGCACTGAGGCGCTGTGTCCTGTTTCGCCCGAAATTCCGCCCTGAGGTTGTTGACCTTGTTGACCTTGATTAGAACCTGAGAAACCTCCCTGACTATGCTGAATAGGAGCCGTGCCTCCAATCCGCTGCAAACTGAGCAACGGCGCCCGGTAACGGAATTGATGTGGGTTACTGTGTGGGTTGTATAAGTTGGGCCCGTTTGATTGATACGGCGGCTGGTTCATTTGGCCAGTAGTCAGTGGTAAAATAGGCGGAGAAGGTTGGTAGAGAGGATCAGTGTTCCATCGGGCATGCGGTGGGGGCAGAGTTTGCCAAAAGTGAGGGTTGTTGTGCACCGGGTCGAAGTAGTAATTAGGTCGAGACGGAAACATCGGCGGTGGATGTTGGTTGTGCTCAACAGCAGCAGCCCGTAAGGCCGGACATGCAGAGCGAGCTGCGTGATCGACGCTCGCCGACGATGAGGACGGATTAGAATGCTCCGGGGGGTGCATCATGAAATCCATTGTCGAAGGGTCCATGCTATTCTTTTTTTTTTCTTTAGGAGAGTGGCGGCCTTAGTTGTAAGAAACCGTCACTCCCGTTCCTATATCCTTACGACTACAGATGTGTGGTTGCCTTGATGTCTTTGGTGGAGAGAGTGGGACGGATGAGAACCGGACGATAGACGGAGGGGTTGGTGGAATAGATAACCAGGGCTGATGGCCTCGGGATGCGGATATAAGTAAGATCACCAGGGGTTAAAGTCGGCACAGTTGGAACAGCCGACGATATTGAAGTATTTTCTTTTCCTTTCCACACGGTCCCAAAAGCACTAATACTGTGTCAACCAGAAGATCCTGCCTACTTGACACTTCTCGTAAGGTGCGTGGGGAGACGGCAATGACGGCGATGAAGGCGATGACGGCATAGACAAGGACTGATGGATTATGTGAAAGTAGAAAATATGGTGCGGGATATCGTGCCTGCGACGAGTTTGTTTTCTCGGACCGTTCGATTATCTACCTGAGTCGTGGTCGGTGAAAAATAACACTGTTGCCAAGTGACAGAAGTCAAACGTGTGTCAGGTCTTCAGGTCTTTGTGATCTGCTACCTATGAAGACTTATTACGTCTTCCCCCCCCCAAACGCTAACTGACCGGGCAAAGTGCTGTGTAAATAAGTATTGGACTTGCAAACGCTTGCCTTTGATGATGCTTAAATATCGAAATACTTAGGGGCGGAAATGGAGAATATTCGATCCTAGGTATTGACGGCAAATTGATAATAGGATATAGTTAGGTAGGGAGATGGTGAGAAGATAGGTCGCCGATATGGTGAGAGGTGGTTTAAAGACGGAGATTGAGATATGGAGGGGTTTTATTTAGATGCTAAGAGCTAAGAACCAACATCCGATCCGATGCGTTCATGGGCCTACCTGAATGTACTTTGGGTCTATTCTCCAGGGGAAGGTAGGTCGGGAAAAACAACGAAGGAAGAGGGAAGGAAGGATAAGTAGGAAGGTAGGAGGGAGACAAAAAAGACAAAAAGAAGGCTGGCAGAAGACTGACTGTGCTCAAATTAAGAAATGGTAGTAAGTGCGATGCAGCAAATACGCACGCTCTTACCATACAGATACAGATACAGATACAGACACAGCAATACAGCAATACTTTACAACGATACAGCCATGGTGCACTGTATGTATTTCGTAATATGTAATATGTAAGGTAGGAAGCTAGGTTAGGTGGGCATGAGGTATGTATGTATGTACGATACGACAAAGTATGTATCTTCATACATGCAACCAGTTCCAGTTTGACCCAATGGATCCAATAGACCCAATAGACGACGAAGGTGGGTAGGTACTTACAAGCGTACTTCGTACATACCTCCTACATAAATCCACCTTACATCCATGACCTACCCTCAAGGTTACTACCTGGGCTGCTAGGTAGCCAGGGCTGTCAGGTAGGCCTACCTTGCCTACCTTGCCTACCTACATCCTACATACGTAGTAACATAAGCTAACGTGCGAGAGTTGCAAGTTTTAGGTAGTTTGCGTTATTCAAGGGATTTCCATTATCCACACAGGTTTTTTGTCGATATCATAGCTCTCCAGAAAAGAAAAGAAAAAAACCCATTCATACCTAGGTACGTACCCATGTACCCTTGGACCTATCCAGCCAGGTACTTGGTTGGCATGATATTATTGGTACTATGAACCGAAGGAGTCATTATCGCAAATCGCAAAATCAGCAGCAAAGAGATATAAAAGGATAGAAATGCCGTCGGACTTTGACACGTTATTCGCGGAGAGGCGGCTTGGGAGACAACTACCACGCCCAAGTTCCAAGGTCCAAGCTCGGAAGAAAATCGATCCAACGCAGACTCCGGGCCAGTCTGGACTGGCTTGGCTTGGCTTGCTCTAGGCGGACTCAGTCATATGCTGACGGGTGCCTTCATCCGTTAGAAAAAATAAATGCTCTATGTAGAGCCTAGGTGTTTGATATCAAATGCTATGTAGAAACAGTCGACGTGTTGCCGTACCCATATATGTAGGGATTGTGGTGCAACTGGTGCAACTGGCGTGCAACTATGTTCCTCTACTGCATTGATTCGGGGACTCGGAACTACGGTCGTTGGCTGCGGAGTGCTGGGATGATTGCTGCTTTGGTTTTCTGACAGGGAGATTTCAGAATTGGTTTCACATTGTGATTTTGGGTATTTGTACAGAGAGTGCGCATGTTACGGGCATGCGGCATGCGGACAAGATAAGAATATGCGATAAGGCCTTATCAATATCAATCATATAAAGTACCCTGCCTCCCTCTTCTTCTATCTGTCATTATGATAGAATATAATCAGATTTTATAGCATAGCTACGCCAAGTGCAAACCCAATTACATAAAAACAATTTCAACATTTTCATCTATTTCTCTTTGAGACTTTGAACTAGTTATTGACTTTAAGTTCCTGAGTCTGTTGGACTTGTTGGCAGGGTTCCGGCTATTGGGATAGCGTTTCTTTCCCTATTGGGTAATACCTGACTGAAGAGTGGAACCTCTTAGCCCGTATCATACGGTACATATAGTAGACATTCATGCATGCATGCATGCACTTAAGGCGAATATCGCTCAAAGTCGCTAACTTCCTTGGCAACATGGAAATCTTCCGCATCTTAAATTCAATAACTACATGATGTAGGCCTGTAAGTATTCAACTTTAGTCATTCCAATAGTCATTCCAACATGATCACAATCCTGAAATAACGAATCAATATTCAAGATGTCCATCCCCTTTTACACAAGTGGTACCCTACTGACTCGTTCCCCAGCCACATGATGGGATCACCGCCCCGACTGTTTTTCATTGATCACTCATCACAGATATTCGTCGTATTGTCATGGAACCCCTCATATCTCCCCTCCCCCCCCTGCCCTGTGCTAGCAAGCGCGAGAGAGACAGCCCCCAAGCCAGCGCCTCGCTGCAGCTAGGATGCTATTTTCACTTATAACCAACCAAAAATTACAGCACCGACAAGCAGCCCGTCACGGTATCAGCCGGTCGTGGAAGTGATCTTGTGGTCGGGTAACGACACAACGATGCTACCTATTATTATTACATAGGCCATCTTACCTGGGATCTGATGAATCATCCCGGTCCTTCGTGGATACCGGTTTAGGTAGCCCTGGCCGCCAATACCGCAACTTGTAAAAAGAAGCCTGCTCCCTTCCGTCTGCCTCAAGCACGTCTTGACTTGATTTATCGTCTCTTACACCCTTGTCTATGAGCAGATAGACTAACACGCACTAAGCATTTAATGCTTACAAGTCATACCCTTCTGTCGCAAATATGTGCCAGTCTAGCACGGTCCAGGAAAGTTCTATATATGACGAGAATAGGACCATTACACGCAACAATACAGGACGCCCCACGACTATGAGACTATGAGCAAGCAGCGCGGTTTGTGCGGCGAAGTAGTAAGTAGGTTTTCGGACCTAGAGCGTTCGAAGGTGGTAACATCACCACCACCAACACCAGTTTCAAGAGGGGTCCGCATCAGTCCGAAAGACATGTACTATTTTACGGAGTATTCAACGCGGTTCCGTGCGAGCTCCAACCACGCAGATCACACGCCTGCATAGATGATTCTGCGGACACACACATATCGGTCCGCCGTCCACTATCCACCCTAGAGCTACCCCACGGAACATTTACTATGTAGGCCACTAAATAGGTCGACGACGTTCTCCATATCGGCGACCTAAAAAAAAAAAAACGACTATGAATTACTACGTGCAGATAGACCACTGGTAGCAGTTTGGCTAGCGATCCCCATAAAGCGTTGGGGCGCTTCTTCCCTTATCTTGTACTCCGAAAACAGGCTCATTTGATAGCCTGACTTATATTACCCTGTTCTCATACCGCCTAGGGTAGCCAAGTTCTTGTCTGCGACTGTTACAAGGAATTGCGAGTCCGCCTATCCGTCAAGACACCGCTCAGGTAACCTAGCCTGCATCATCACATCACGCTGACTTGTATGCCTATTTTGTGATCCGTTCGATATCATGACGCAGTCATGCTACGAAAACCTCGTCTGTATTGCGCCGCTCGTAATCTTGTTAATAGCTCAAGTTTGATGGTATGTCGTCCCACCCAAGACTACCTAAGAATGATGCATTTGCTAGTTTACGAGACGAAGTTCTGCTTGCAAAGGTTGAGCGATCAAATTTGTTGAAAAAATGAAAATGAAAAACCCCCATTTAAAGAAATATACTCGTCAAATTCCTCAGTACCACAGAGGGGAAATGTTGCAGACCCTAGTAAAGCAATTAGGACCAACAAAGATCTAGTTTGAATCTTGAGGGGGACAGCCAACAGTCAGTTATTATTGTGGTCCATATATTTCACCATGAGAACTTTATGCTAGCCACCCTCTCACCAGCCAAGAAAAAAAACTTGAAGATAGGTACTATATGTGGTTTTTAGCTTGTGAATTTCTTATTTTTCTTATCCCCGAGGCACATATTAACTATACGCAGGCTAAAAGTTATCTCAGATGACTTTAGACCACAAATTCAAAATTGGTTCGGAAAGTTATACCTTTTTAGCCACACCATTCCCCCAACCAATCAAACCCCGGAACAACCCTTTAAAACAATATCGAATTTATGGTTTAAAACAGCTTTAAAACTTTACATATTAAAAACATACGTTTAATATTTTAAAAAAATAATATTAATAATAATATTAATAATATTATTAAAATAATAATATTAATACGTATTTATAATAAATAATAATTAATTATATAATAATTATTAATTTTTTTATTAAATTTATTAATTAAATTTACGCGTTTTAAACCTTTTAAAATATTAAAAATAATTAATATTAATTATAATACCGGTTATAATATTAATCGTAACATTAATTATAACGTTAACCGTAATAATAATTGTAATAATAATCGCAATAAATATTAAAATTTAATATATAAAATTATAAATATGTAAAAAAAGTTA